GATTTTCTTGAATTTTAGTGGAACCAAATATTTTTACTTTATAAGATTTGATTCTTGTTTTGCTTCTACTACATGCAGCCATGTGGGCTGAAACATCAACTGTAATTATAACAAAACATTCCCCTGATATAAAAAAATGGCTGCTTTTCATCTAAAACAAAACTGGTAAACATTTTCAGATTTATGGGTTATGTAACTATATGTCTTAACTTTATGTTGACTTTTTTTGCCTACTTGCCACATTATAGAGGGCTTTTATTGTTAATAAAGGGAAAATGGCAACATTTAATTTCAGACTGTGCAGAAAGACATTGCCATGCTTGGGGTCTCATGGCTTTTGCTGTCTAGCAAGTATTGGACTCTCATAAATTGAGGCCATATCTGGTTTTCCTTTTCTTCCATGAAACTTGTGTTTCTATTCACATTTTCATGCTTATTCTACCTGTATTTTATATAGTTGTGCAAGCTTATCTTGTTATAGTATGATGAAACTATATCATTCTAGTAGTCAGCCCAGCTCCTCCTTGCTTCAAATTAACTTCATCATGGATTTGCAGGTTTTAGTAAACTGCCTTTCAGTTTAAAGACACTATTGCTCTTCAACAAAGTTTGTGAATATGAAGAAAGGGAATATTGCTGGTTTTGGTGAGCATACTATTCGTATGACACGAGCTCGTGCCGCAGCCTATCATGCATCTAATGGAGTGCTTTCCTTGAAACCCTCCAAGAAAGAGGATCAGAAACGGGTTCTACGAGCAAATTCAAAAAGGGCAGCCTTGGATGAGAACAAAACTACTGCTCTTGTCACTGTATGTCTTCAGCATAAAAGGAGGGCAGTGCTTAAGGATGTTACTAATACATGTTCTGAAAATTCATATATGAACTGCATAAATGCAGTTAATACTCAGGTCAATACCATTCTTGTAGTCTATTGTGCATTGGGTGCTCAGAACAGAAAATTGGGGATATTTTCTAATTGCATGAGCATAAACAGCAATGTGACATTGCTGGTTTTGATGATTGGCAATTCAGCTATTATTTATTAATTTTTGAAAATTCTTCTAATTTATTGGCAATTTTTTCTTTACTTCAACACAGAAACTCTCCCTTTCCCTTTCCCTTTTTAAATTTGAATTTGATTTGTTTCAATTCTTCTTATCTTCAGAATAAGAATTCCAAGCAGGGTAAAAGAGGTCCTGTCAGGAAAGATTCAAAGGTGCACCCTGCTTTTGCTATAGAAAACTCTGTGGTTTTAGAGGATGTAAAGACAAGGATGGCTGAGGTGGAAGAGAAAACAGGGGCTATTGAATCACAGGAAGTAATGCTTTCGGTAGAATTGGAAGAAAATGTGTTAATTCAACCAAGTATGGAGAGTGTTGTAATGGAAAGTGGTGTATATGATCATGAGATTGAGAAACAGATCTCTAGAAAGCCTTCACAACTCCAAAGTCCTTCAGGCAAAGGTTTTCTTTCTCATTCCTTTTTGTCTCATTGCAAATGTGCCAAACCTATCATGAAGTTATTGTATGATTTACTACCAACTCCAGTAAAATATCCAGTTTAAGGAGAACTTACACAACTATGTGGACCATATATTAGAAGAAAAAGGAAAAATAGCAATTATGTGGTGAAATATTGACCCAGCTGGATTGTTGAAAACTGGGGGTTGCTGAAACGTAGACGGTTTTCAATGGTTCTCACAGGTTGTAGATGGGTTAGCCTTTTTTTATATAAATCTGAATACTGCTGATCTAAAAAAACCTAATGGCAATTGCTTTCTGGTTCTGATTGCCTGATTGTCTGCTCTGGTCCAAGTCTGACAACATTGCTTTTAAGTAATGGTTCTCTCTTCTTTCCTAATTATATTGCTATTCTAAAGAAAATGAGTAACAAATTTGATATTGCTTTGCAGACAAGCATAATCTTTGCAAGCATCTAGGAACTTCAAATTGTGTAGACATTATGGACATTGATTGTGACTTTAAAGATCCTCAATTGTGCAGCCTCTATGCCCCTGATATCTATAGTAATTTACTTGTTGCAGAGGTTTGTGGTGAAACAATAACCATTTCTTGTATTCTTTTGTTTCTAATTGTACTCTATTGTTCACATTTCATTGCCCAGCATATTGTAGTTTGGTAATACATGTATGCTATCAATAGTGGAATCAACATTTTTTTTTAATAAGTTTTCAGTGCCATCTGCTTCATGGTTTTGAACTGCCCTGCAACATCCTTGTTTTAAGGTTCTCTTTTAATGATGGAAAAAAATCAAAATAGCCTCACTTCTTAAGTTATTTTTAATATGAAAATGGATATTATTTACGATAGCTTAAGTAGGGAGGGCAGTTACTTGGTTTTTTCAATTTGAAAACTTAAAAATGAGGCATTGGCAACTCATGCCCAAACTCTGAAGCAGTAGGATGCCAAAAGCTTTGCTATAGTCCAGTGCTTCTTGTTTTTTGTTTTCTGAAACATTCTTTGATTCTAAATTTGTGATATGGCCTACTTTTAGTAGCAAAGGATTCACATTTAATCTGCCATGCACTTGGAAGTTCCCTTTTAAGTTTAGACACCAAAGATATTTTTAGGCCCCTTCAATTTTGAAAAATTGTATTGTTCTAAGATCAACTATTTCTTTTTTTCTTTTTGTATCAATGAAAGTCTTCACTTATGGTAAAAGCTCTTTTTTCCTCAGCTCATCCGACAACCTTGCTCTGATTTTATGGAAACAGTACAACGAGATATCACCCAGAGCATGCGAGGGATTCTGGTTGATTGGCTTGTGGAGGTCAGTGTAGTTAAGACAAGCAAATAAAGTTCTGTGCTAAACTTTAGGGCTTTGTGCTCCAACATAGAATAAAATGCCAACATTCTAGCTTGGCCGTCCAACATTTCAAAATGTTATGTTATGTTATGTCAAAGGCACCCTGCATTGTGGTTTGTGGAAAATATTTTGCTATGAATGTAAATTCTTTTTTATTTTGATTTATAACTTGAAGTTTCATTAAATGAGGTGCACAAGTATTTATCTATGATTCTAAATACTTCATTGAATGATTTGCCTTTGGGAGTGCTCTAGCATCTTTCAGTATTTCTAATCAGGCTCTGGAAAAAAAGTAAGAAAATAGCAAAATCTTCATTGAAGATTCGCTTTTTTTAATTTCTTCTTGTTTTGTTTCCAATCTGGCTATGGAAATAAGAATAAAAAATGTAGGTAATTGGTTTTGAAAAAAAAAGCATCTGAATTCTATAGTTATATGGGCAATTGAAAAGTTTAAATCTTCATGTTGCATGGAGCTTGTAGATTGTTAAAGGGTTTGTTACTATGTGTGTTTTTCAGGTTTCTGAGGAATATAAACTGGTTTCAGATACACTTTACCTTACTGTGTATCTCATTGATCGGTTTCTTTCTCAAAATTACATTGAAAGACAAAGACTTCAATTGCTTGGCATTACCTGCATGCTAATTGCCTCGTAAGTTCTCTCCTTCATGTACACACACATGCACACACACACACACACACCCCATCATAAAAGAATGCATTTCATGCCTATTTTCTATGGCTGATGGAGGCTTCATTTTATTATTTTTTACGACTTTGAAGGAAGTATGAAGAAATATGTGCACCTCGTGTAGAAGAATTCTGCTTAATCACAGACAACACTTACCCAAAAACTGAGGTATATTTATTCCTCCCATTTGAACTTTCCTTGTTTATCAACTTGACTGGTTTCATCTCCAACCTCCCAGCTTCTCTAGGGGTTCTAGCTCTTCCCCACTCCACTAGATGGTATTTTTTTTCTTCTCATTAGGTCCATTCCACAAAAAAGCTAGTTTAATGAAATATATTAGAATCAGCTAATACTATTATTAAAATGACAATTAATGTAATATTATGGTTAGTATTAATACAAGACATGTGATCCTTTTGTTTTTCCAAGCATTACACACGTTTTCCAAGTGGGTGCTTCCAACCTTTATATATCCTTAATGTATGTAAGCATTGTTTAAAGTTGCTTATTAGCTGACCCTATAGGACAAGGCTTTGGTGATGATAATTTAAAGCTGGTTATTACAAAAATGCACGATTCTCTTGAAATCTTTTGGTTTTACCTGGAGAGTACTGCTTATTTATTTATTTGGGTATATAAAAGCCTCTGACTAAAAGTAAATTAACAGGTGCTGAAAATGGAGAGTCAAGTATTGAACTACTTGGGCTTCCAACTATCAACACCTACCATACAAACATTTCTTAGGTGAGCTCAGCTATTTATGTTCTAATATCTCTTGTGACGTTCTATCCATCCAAGTTTCTATGACATTCTTTTCTTCCAAACTTTTTCCTTTGACAGGAGATTCCTTCGAGCAGCACAAGCTGCTAACAAGGTAAGTGCCTGTCTTAGTTGCATCCCCAAGTTTGGAGAAAACAAAATTCATATTCTAATTTATTTTCAGATAAAAAGTAGTTCTGAAAACTTATCTATTTTTCTTTACAGGAACCTAGCCTTGAACTGGAGTTCTTGGCCAATTATCTGGCAGAACTAACTCTGGTTGAGTATGCATTCTTGAAGTTCCGTCCTTCCCTCATAGCAGCATCTGCTGTATTTCTTGCCAGATGGGCACTGGATCAGTCATGCCACCCATGGGTCTGCATTCTTTCCAGTCTTTTCTACGTTCTCCCTTCCACCTGTATTTATTCTGTACATTTATACTCTAATTCTTGCAGAACCCGACACTAGAGTACTATACCACTTACAAGGCATCAGACCTGAAAGATACAGTTCTGGAACTACAAGATTTGCAAATGAACACCAAAGATTGCCCACTGCATGCTATACGAGAAAAGTATAGGCAAAATAAGGTAAGAACTAGATCATTTTTGTTTTCTTTATTCTTAAACCACCCAGTCATCAATATTTCATAACATTTCAAGCATAACTGTGCTGTCTAGGTGATTCTGGGCGATAGTGGGGTGCCTAGTTGCCTAAGCAATAAGAATTTTATAAATTAAAGAACAATGTTTTTGCTAGCTCCCTACTTTTATTCATTCAGCATGCATATTAATTGAAAGAATAGTAATTCTTTTTATTAAGAATATTAAACTTCCTTAACATGGCAAATCATCGTATCTAAACGGTAAAAATATTTTAAATATATTAATTTCAATACTTTCAAAAAATAATATTGATATAATAAGAATTTAATAGAGCAATTTTGTATCAATTAACAACGAAAGCTATAATATTATATGGTAAAGATTTAGGATAGATAATAAGGGCTTAGTTTGGAAGGGGTTGGAATACAAATATGTAGAGTGCAAAACCTTATATTTTGTATTATTTTGTATGTATTTGTACTATATATATTTGTATTTGTACTCTTCCCAAACTGAGCCAAAAGAGAAAAAGAACTAGGGTGGAGCTATTTTTCTCTTTATACTTCTATTCAGTGTTTTAAGAATCAGACTGGAGCAAAGAACTGAATGCTCTTTGGGTCCCAGTTTTACTGATTAACTGGGTGGTTTGCCCGTCCAACCCACCAAAACCGTCATTTAACCAGGGCCTGGAAAAGCCATTGGTTCCCAGTTTTCAAGATCTGACCGTCCGGCCTGGTCTGAGTCTTAAAACATTGCTTCTATTCTTTGTTTTTTTCTTCTCAAAACCCTTTGATCTTTTAAATTTCAATAGTAAAACTTTAATCCAATATAATATAAGATGACATGACATAAAATAATGTAACAATTAGTAAATATACATTAGTAAGATGTAGCAATTAGAATGATATTATAATAAGAGGCCTGCCTTGTCATTTTTGTTCCCTAGATAGGTGTTTTATTGCTACAAGTCAAGGTGTTTAGGGGAGTCACCTAGGTGATGCCTTGGAAAATATAATTTCAAGCTTATACTAGGAAGTATGACCATGTAACTATCTTCCCATAAATAAGGCTCCTACAATTAGTATGATACAAAATTTTGTTTCTTATAATAATTGTTTCCTTTCATAATGTGGTTGCTACAATTCTGGCAGTTTAAGTGCGTGGCAACCATGTCATCTCCAAAACAACCACTCGAAAGTCTCTTCTAAAGATCAAAGATAACAGTGCTAACTCCTCATTTCTCCAGACTGTTAACATACGGTTATCAACTGGAAGTCTCCTCTGGATATCAATATTTCTCCATTGTGGGTGTGAAACCTGAGATCTAATGTTAATTTCTATTTGCCATTTAGGGTGTGAAGTCTCCTCTTTCTTTTCTGTTTATTGTTGTCGTAGCCTGTCATTGTATTGTTGAATTTTGGGGAGCAAGGGATACCCGAGGTCACAAGTTGAGAAAGCCCAGGGACTAATTTATTTCAAACATCTCTCCCATGTAAAGTCACATGACAGCTGCTGAGATCAATTTTTTGGTTGTAACAATGAATGTAACATGTTGATGATAACTTCTTGTATCCAAAACCTGATTTAATTTTCTATAAAGATTTTTGTTTTTTGTTTTTGTACTTTTCCTCTTTTTTTTGGTTGTGGAAGGCTGAAAGTTGCAGTTGTTTGTTGAGAAGGTTGTTTTTCAAGCAACTTCTCAAGAGAAAAAGAGAGAAAAAGGGCAGCGAATAGGTAATGAAGCAAAATCATGAATGACTTGCAATAGAGAGAAGTTGGAAATTGAGAAAAAAAGCAGAAGATGGACTGAGTACTTTTTCTTTTTATTTTTCTCTAAGCTAAAGTTCCTAAAACTGGGATTAACCAAAGGGTTCATTCTAGAGGTGAGGAAATAAGAGAAGAAAGCATATCAACCAAAATGTCTCAATTTCTAGTACTTAGAAAGCTTTATGACTTGATCATTGCCATCCCTAGATGATATATTGATGAAAAAAATGTGGAAGCAATTCCATGTTTTTTTGGATTAAAACGTTAAGATGGTTGGCTTTGGTTTTTTTAAGTCTCAAGTGGGCAGAAAGGGGACCACTCCATTTCTTTGAAGCATTTGTACCATGTTGCTTTGTATAGAAATGATTAACCAAATGTGGCTTGGATCAATCTTCTTTATTTTTTGACAAGTGAAGCTATATACATGCACAGCAAAGTAACATACCTTCAGCCAATATTCAGCAAGAGTTAAACCACCCGAAGTCTCCTCAAGAGACCTAACCTTCTGAATGATAGAAACGAGACAAAAAAGATGGTCCAACCAACAAAGCACCAATGCTACTTGTTAGTTGTTACAATAAGAGAATCTGTGGTTTTTTGCAAGGTTTTTAAAACCAGACCGAACAGGGAACTGTTCTGGGTCCGGTTCCTGGGTCGAATGGTCCAATCGTCCAGTCCAAACAGATGGCCTGGTTTGATAGAAAAAATTAAAAAATATAAAAAACAAAAAATGGCCAAAAAAATTGTCCGGGTTGACAGTTTGACCACCTGGGTCAGCAGTTCGCTGACCAAATCATGAAATCAACAGTTTTTGGCCAAAAAGAGGTTTTAGGGTAAAACAGAATCAGTCAGGTGACCGGTTCCCGGTTTTCTGGTCTGACCGTCTGGTTTTGAAAACCATAGTTTTTTTAGCATCTCTACTAATTGAGAAAACTTTTATTAATCAGATGATTTTTTTTTAATATTTTTCTGGAATTATGTCCTTTAAGGCTGTGTTTGGTTTGAAAGAAAAGGCAGGGAAAGGAAGGTTTCCCCAACTTTCCCTTCCTTTCCCTATCTTTTCTTTCAAACCAAGCACCACCTAAACATCTCCAAAGGAAAGCCTGAAACTTCTGAGGCACTTCCCCAAATCACAAGATGCTTCCCAAGAATGCATCATTTGATTTTGAATATTGAATAAAGAAGAAATGAAGGGTAAAAAAGGCTTAAACACACCCTGTTTTTTCTTAAATTGACTTAAAACATGCATTGAGTTTTTCAAAAAGACTTAAAATATACCTTGTGACTTTTTTCTTTTCACTTTTTTTCTTTCAAATTCTTTCAAAATTTTAAAATATATCCTTAATTTTTCATACTCATGTTGGGTGGTGGGTATATCAGTAAAAAATACTACAGCACAACAGGTTTCCAACTCCAAAATAGGATAAGAAAAACACATAAATAAAGAAAGAAATGCGGCAGTGCCGGCTGAAGTTTTGATCATTTCAATTTGTGACTCTACCTTATCTCTAGCTGCAGCTTACATTGGAGAGAGAGAGAGAGAGAGAGGTGCTAGTGTTAATATTTTACAATGTAAAATGCATTTCTTTTAGGCAAGTGGGACTGAATTTGAAATTTGAAATAATCTCCCTTCTCTCTTTCAAGTTTCGACCCATCAAATCCAGAATATAAAATGGAATAAATTCAATTTTCAATTTCCCTCTCTCTTCTCTCCTATTTTTCTTTTCACTAGTATTTAGTGTTTTTTTCCGTTTCTCCTCCATGTTCTTTTCACTAGTATTTAGTGTTTTAAAATTTTAGGAATTTTAAATAAGTTCACATATGATGTTTCATTGATAGAGGGTCTCGTGGGGTCATTCCACAATCATTAGGTATATTTGAGTCTTAGATGTTTTAAGTCAATTTATGAAAACTGAGGAGATGTTTAAGTTTTTTACCCCTTTCTTAAAAAACAAGTAAATAGTAAATCTATCACCTATGTGTTTGAATAAAACTCAAAGTGAAACCAAATGATTCAAGGGGGGATATTCTGGACCACATCATCATCAGCCAACCTACCCATTTTATCATCTACTCTGGGTTCTGGGTTCGCTTATTTCCAGATGGTTTGGATTCAGACTCTGGGTGGACTAAGCAGTTTGGAACCTAACCTTTATTGACTCAACATGGACCAAACCCATTTCCTCGTGCTAAAACAGAAGGCCGTCTAAATTGAATCTTCAAATCCATGGCTGACTACCTGGGCACCATGGATGGAAATGGAACCATGTAGGCCTAAGTTCTTCCATTCAATCTAAATCTATCCCTACTTGTCTCTAGAAATCTACACTTCCAATTCCAGGGATTGAGCTCATTTTTTATTAAAAATTTAATAATATTATATTCCTAAAACCCCAGTTGGTTTTATTACCATAAATTTATGTAGCCTACATCAACACTCAACAGCCTTGTGCCATCAAGAAAAAAAAACACTCAACAGCCTCGGGATACCTTTCAGCTTCTGGTAAACCCAGCTACTCATCCACCTACTTTTTTGGTAAACCACCAACCCAGTTGCAAATTTGCACAGGAGTTCTGCTGCTGTAGTAGTATTTCTTTCTTCTATATATTAATTTTAAAATGTTTTCTTCTGTTTGGGCTGGGATCTTTTGAATGTTGGATAGGGTGGGGTTCCGGTTTCAACATCGTCTGAAAATGTCGGGCCAAGAAAATGGGCTAAAGGGCCCACAATGAAAACTATATGCCACGGCGGCACCAGCACGACATTAAGCTGAGGTCAATGGTATTTTAGTAGTTTTGAGAAGGACACAAGTGGTTTTTGGACATTTTGTTTCTATGTCCGGCTTCATCGTTATCTGCCCACGTTACACGTGTACCTGACTACCTGTGATTACTCCGTTGACCGTGGGCCAGTCCTCCCAACTTCCAACGTCGTACCAAGCTTCAACCTGCTCTATCTCTAAACCACATGCGTTTGGAAATTAGCCCCAATGACTAAATTACCCCTACCATTGAAATTTTGAGACTAATTTAGACTTTTGGATTGGATAGACATTTCTTGATGTTGAATAATTTTATGACATCTTCTGACTAATGCTTATTATGATGCTGAATCATGAATGGCCATTTGAGTGGCTTTCAGGTGGAGGACCTTATATTAAACCGTGGTTTTGAAAATCGGATCGGACCGGACAGTTGGCCAGGTTGATCCAGGGAATCGGTCATGAATCTGAGTCTGATTTTGGACCCCGAAGCCATTTGACCCGGGTTTGGATAAGAGATCGGACCGTTTGACCCAGGATTTGGTGGTTAAAATGGTTTCATTTCTACTCTCGCTTTTGAAAATCATAGACTAAATAGATTCATGGAAACAAAAATATAAACAACAACTCTCTCTCTCCATTTCTTTTCTCCCCATTTAGTAATTATAGTATCAATGCCTTTACTGACATCTAGGGGTGAGCATTCGATTTGTTCGGTTTAAAACCAAATGGAAAAATTTGAAATTTTACAATTGATCTATCATAGGCTAAATTAAAATCCAACCAAAACCGAACTGAAATTTTATTCGATTATTTTGGTTAAAAACCAAAATAGAAATTCACCCCAACCAAAACAGAAAGAAGAAGAAGAAGAATGGTTGCAGGTTGCAACCTCGCAATCTCTATCATCTGGTTGCAGCTCGAGGAATTTGAGGAAGAGAAGAAGAAGACGAAGATGAGAGGGTTAGAGTTTAGAGAATAGAGACTGACGTTCTCACGAATAAAAGGACTCTATAGATTAGACTCTAGAGAATAGAGACTGATATGCTTAAGAAGAAAATGAAGACTTGAAAATGTATTTTTCTCACTCATTTTAGTTACTTTTTGTAGTCTTGACATTTAAGTTTCGTTGTATTGGACTAGACAGCTTCTACTTTCTATTAAATCCTACGCAAGTATGCCTCTACGTATCAACTATCAATAATATTAAAGAAATTTATATAACTTTAAAAATAAATCAGTTTTTTCGGTTAACAGATTTGTGAACCATGACAACTGAAACTAAAAACCGAAATATAAGAACACGGCAATCGAAACCGAACCGAAAATTGATTAAATCAAAATCAAAACCAAAGTTTTAATTTGGTTTTAACTGAATTATGCTCACCTCTAGTGACATCTACAGTTTTTAAATCCACCTACAGCTAGATCTTCCAAAGAGGGTTATAAAGAAATCAAGATATCTATTATCATATAGTAGCAAAAAAATAGAAGGAAACTTAGGGTCCGTTTGATTCGTAGTTGAACCTGAATCGGGGTCCGAACCAAAATATTTGAGAATTGGAATTGGAATGGTCCACTCCTATAGTCTGTTTGATTCAGACAGGAATGAGAATGAGAATTGGAATCAATAGGAATGACATTTCATTCCCAAGGAAGGGATAGGGAATGGCCATTTCCTCAAATGGGGAAATGCCACCCTAGCAAGAATAGGAATGGGATTCCAATTCCACCCAACCAAATAGTTGGAACTAGAAAAACCCATTCCCATTCCGATTCTAAACCCTTATTCCCATAAACCAAACAGGACCTTAAAGTTCAATCCACTTTAGATATTTTTATTAGGTTTTTAGGTTTCATTTACCAACAACTCTAGATTCACCATCCCTTAAATTTTGATTCATTCACCCACGCGTTACTCTTCCAATTGTGCTAATGTTTATGATTTTTTTGGTATTCAACTAAAGTTTATGATTGGGTCCCAATCTGTTCCAATCCAGTTCACTTCTTAGGGCAGATCAAGGAAAGAAAGGTTTGTGGCTTGTGAGGCGACTCATTTCTACTCTAGATAATTTGAACCAGTGCATTAATGG